TGTTTCCAGTTCCTGTCTGTACAGTGCACATCCTCCAGTGCAGCCGGATTTGTAAAGACTGTTTGATAAAACAAAAGCACAGTTCTGCTGTATACCTGAGTAGAATGGCTGTCTCAGGGAAAGTATCATTTTGGGTTGGCTGGGTTTTTGGGTGGAGGTGTTTGGTTGGTTGGTTTTGTCTTGTTTTATATTTGAACTCAACTAAGTGCATTTTTTGCAGATCATAGTTTCTGCCTTAGAAGAATGATGTGAACCGACTCATCTGGGTGTTTCTGGATTTTGCTATTTGGCAGACAGTTTTTCAAGTGTGCTTGTCATTTCCTGGGGGGAACACACCTGGCAATATTTGTAGCCAATAATAAGATTGGAGCTTTCATGCAAAAAGCAGAATTTAGGAAAACTTGTACTCACTGGTTTTGCTTGGCAGTCTCCTAATACATAAAGAGGTTTTTTTCTGACAAAATAAGTGATTTTTTCTTTTTAAAAATTAGTTCACATGATGCTCTGATTTTTTTTTTCTTTCTGAAATATGACAGCTTTCAGAAGACCTTCATACGCCAGTGATCCTGTAGTTTCTAAAGGACCAATGCACGATGTGGCAAAAGCAGGTAGGAATACAGGATCCATTCCAAGGGCAGGGCTGGTGCATTGTCCTGGAGTGGGCTCTAAGCGGTGGTGACCTTCTCTATAACAGGACTCAACATGCACAGACCAACCAAATACTGCACAAAAAGGACCACTGGCAGGACTTCAGATTCCACATGGCAACACACTTTTAACAAACCATCACTTGTAGAGTTTTGGTGTAATACCATGCACAGTCTACAGTATCTCTAAAAGGTATCATGGCAGATCTGCCTTTTCCAATTATGTACCTGTATGAGGCCAGATTTTCTTCATAGCTTCAAACAAAACAGTATATTGCAACAGGCTGACTTCAGAAGCCAATTAGAGAATCCATCTGTCTTTGATTGAGCCAGACTTTGTAAAAGATTTACAAAAGTACAAAATAATACCACT